TAATATTGTATTTGAATTTGTACATGCTATAAGCATAGTATTGTACTTGTATTTTGTATTTTGCTGTTGTTTTAGTATTCTTGAAAAGCAACAGCAGATTTCCAAGTAGACTTATTTAAATTACATACTGCTTTCAAAAAAAATCAGTTGTATTTGATTACATTTAATTTCAGTAGTATATTCTTTTATCAGCATTTTTACCGCTCAGTTTTTGGTTATTTTAGAGAATTTTCATTTTTTGGTACTATATTTAAAAACAAATACAGAAAATACTATATTATGTATATAATGCCTTTTATTTCTGCCTCAACGGTACCCCAAATAATTTTCCTATTTTTGCCAGTCCCCAAATGTAAAAAGGTTGAAAACCACTGTTCTAGATTATACCCGTTACTTTCTTCTGACCTCCGTTGAAAGAGAAATCCTGCCAGATATTCCACATACACATGCTGTGGCATTCATCAAACAATAGCCCCTTCCAAAATATTATTCTTGCATTGTATCAACATGCAAATAGGCCTGCCTGATACCCCGCACTTTGGCTCAACCTGCTCCCCATTTCTGCACAGAAGACCTCAAAGTACCACAGCAAAGAAGCCTTCAGCGTCCCTTTGCATGATGAGCCGGGTAAGAGGCAAGCAAGATCGCACTGCAGGAGGAACAGGACTAGTTGGCACGGCCCACGTGCTCTCTGGTTGATCCAGTGCGTAAGCCACATCTATGCAAGCTGCCTAGAAATCCCCTCAAGGCATGGCTGTGTTCAAAATCCAGTCACCAACCCCTCTCTCGACACGCAAAATGTCCAGTGAGACTCACCTGTGTTCTGGCTTTTCACAGTCCTGATCCAAATAACTGGCAACTGCAGTGGGCAGCTGCTATGATGGACAGGCGAACCGTTTTCAGCAGCTGCTGTGCTTTCCGGTCATGTCTAGCCGGGCCCTAAGACGCTTACACTTTTCATGTTGAAATGGCATACCAATGTTACACTTTATGTAGTTTTTAGTTTCTAGTATTTCCAAGATCACACAATTAGTGCAGTTATCCACATGCGTTCGACCCACTGTAACCTAAATGCATTTTCATTAATTAAAACCCTAAATCCGCATTATAAGAGGAAATCAAGAGAGAAAAGGAGGATCAGAGAAAGATGCCATCAAAGTCTTCCTAGAACACATATTCTTAGACAGGAAAGCTCTTGTCTGTTAAATCCAGAAGTGAGGCAATGTGTTGTAGTCACTCAGTTTTACTTTCTGTAGGTCCAGAGAAACCCTTTTGCATCACAGGTTCAAGGCCTGAACTCTGATGTGTAAGATCAGTTCTGCACTGAGCTGTGGTTCAGATGAAGCACGTCTCCTAGGGATAACACATCTATTGTAAAGTTCATTTGTAATATTTCAATCAGCTTGAAAAGGCTTGATCCCATTGAGTGGCTGGGTTCTGGGTCAGAGAAATATGACTAATTGAAATTAATTGAAAAATGATTTATTTTGTTTCAGCATACAAAATAACTAAAGTATTTTTTTAAAAAAGGACACCACTTACCAGCTCTTATTCTACCAGAATTTTGTGGAAAACACTCTTCACTTTCAACACACAAATGCAGCTGAAATGTGTTTATTCCATCCTCATTCTCACCAAACTAGAGAACTAACATTTTATAAGGATGACTGATGAACTACATGCAAGTCAGAGTTAAGAGTCTACTGTAATTGCAGTAATATTCCCTTTACATAGTTAACCCCTCCACCCCCACAAATTCTGTACATCAGCTACTGTTTTTGTGGCTCAAAGGACTCATTTGCCTGGTTTAAAAAATAAAATAAAAATAAGAACAGTGATGTGTCCAATATATACTCAAAGTTATGTTGGTCTGTGCTCCTTCCAATAATCTCTTAAGAGTTTTTGCCACAAAATTTAGTTAGAAAAGTCAAAATGGACCCCACCCCCGCACACTTTTTGTTCAATTGAAATTAAACGTGTTGAATGTGCGCTATTAAAAGAAGTAAAAGATAGCCTTTTCAAACGTTTCATATAAAATGTTAACAAAAATGTAAAAAACCCCACTCAAACATCCCCCCTTCCACACTAACATCACATCATATGCCTGATGTCAAGAGATTTCAAAAACCTCCCACCCCAACAATTGCACATTAATTAACATGTGGACTTAAAAAAAGAACATAACGCTTCAAGTATGTTTCATGCCAATCATCAATACGAGTCATAACATTACTGAAGAAAAGTACACTTGTTCTTTTGGAAGCCTGAGGAGGACTTTCCATAGATTATGGTCAAACATTTTAATTTAAAAACAAAAACACACTCACACACAGACACATACAAAAGAAAAAAGAAAAGGAAATAATTTCTTTGGACTTAAAGAAACAACATTAAGAATTCCCATTTGATTATGAAAAAATACCCTCAGTAGGAACCTAGTTTTACATACTGCACAAAACCATGTGCATGGAAAAACCCCCGAGATGCATCTGTTGGGCGACTCTGCAGCAGTGGATGACACTCGGCGAGAAAGGAACACTGGAAATATTGCGGCCTCTTAGCCACAGACTTTTCTGAAGGGCTGACAGATCCTCTGGACCCAGAAGTTACTTCTCACACAACTTCTTCCATTAGGGGAATAACTGATTTCTTGAAGGAAATCTCTCTTTCCCAGCCTATTCTTTTCTAATTGGTTTCTAATTCATTTTATGAAAGCTTGTTGTTGGTTGTTTTAACTGGAAATACTTTAGAAAATCAGGGCAGCAAAGTTTAATCAAGCAGGGTGCGATCCAGTGGGGGTGTCCACAACTCTCCCAACTTGGAAGGTTATGGGCATCCGATGCAAAGCAGTTGGCAAAAGCTGTCTCTGCACTATTTCCATCTGCAAAGCAGCTAGGCTATTCAACTATCTATTGAATATCTATTCAACTGTCTGTCTGTGGAGTTTTGCAGAGGGAAGGAAGGTGGCCCAGGCACCTTGCCACCCTGGCACACTCCCTAAATTTCTGTAGGGTTGCTGTTACCACCTCAGAGAAGCAGCCAGTGTGCTTCTTTCTCCCTCTGTGCATGTGTAATCAAGGGTGACGTTCTTTTCCTAGCTGGGAATCCAAAAAAAGAGAGAGAAAGAAATCATAGCCCTCTAGATGTTTTCTCTGGGCCATGGGATTGACATGCCCATCACTTAGATTTGACTGTTTTAGAAGCTGTCCCTCTTACAATCTTAGGATCCCTGCAAGAGCATCCCAGGGTCACAGGGTATCATGGCATGCCCCTTCCTCTGAGCCTACAGCCTCAGGGGGAGGGGAGCCCCCAGATTACCCAAGGGTTTCTCCCCACCCACTCCTGACTGCCACCGCTTCCTCTGGGGTCGCTTCTGTGTCTTGACAAGGAATGTGGCCAGGGGAATGCCAATGGGTAGTGAGTGGAGAGGCTGTGGACCCACAAGCCTCTCCATCCCTATCCCCATCCACCACCAGGTAAACTAGTAAGATGGGCCCAGAGTGACATTCAGTTCTAAATGCTCCTTTAGGAGGAAAAATGCCTTTGCTTGTTCTGCCTTGCCTAGCTCTTGCTGACAGGGCATTGGATTCTTGGAGCAATCTGGTACTGAAATACTCTGTCCTACGGACTAGATTCCCTTAGGATTGTTCTGGTGATCAGGAAGCTGATTTCTAAAAATCTATTTTCAGAATTGTGGATTTTAGGCACCATCTAACAAGAGGTACTCCCCCTTCTCTGCTCCACAGGAGGGTATGCACACTGAAAGATGGCGATGGCCATGATGCATGCATGAATCATCTAAAAATAAAGGAAGCTGACATCAGAACTATAGTTTCTTCACATGCAGACATATGCACATTTAATTGATTAATCAATTAAAATTAATACGATTAACCAACTAATTTCTTTAACTGGGTCGACAGCTCTACTATAAGTGAATGTGGAGTCCTGATGACGTACTGAAATTTAGATTTCCCAGTAAGTTGTCATCTGTTTAAATGAAAATATTCTGTCAAAAGAAAAAGAGCCAAAACCAGGATCTAAACAGACCATATATTATATGAACAAATAACCAAATATGCTGATTTTTATAACAAAAGAATGAACTGCACGTTGGGGCAGCTGAGTGCTAGAACTCCTAGTAATAAATAACTCCAAATTAAGGACTTTCTACAACATTTCCATAGAAAACTGGACTAGTGTTCCTCCTTTTTATGGCAAACCTCTAGAGTGCTTTCACTTTATAGATATCTAACATAACATGAAAACATACACAAAAATTTTGATGGCAAAAACAATTCTGGATTCAGGATAGTGTACAGTAACACTTACTTTTTTTCTTTAATAAAAGTTCTACTGGTTTATTGACTAAGGCTAGAAAGCAAGTCATGATCCTATTTGGTGCATTTCTACCATGGTCCAAGATCAATACACGATTACAACTTGGGGGCCCATTCTGTTTCAGCAGACTGAATATTAGGAAGAGGGGGAGAAGAGAAAAGAAAAGAAAGAATACCTTTTGCCCTTCCCCCCTCCCAACATGTCATCTTGTTTTGAGGCGTTGCAGAAACAGGGCAATAGGGTTTGGAAGTGGAATAGCAGAAGGTCAGAAAAAAGTGGCATCGAAACAAGAGTAAGGTCAGAATGCTTGTGACGGTGGTGGTGCTGTATCAAAGGAGCGGACACGGGACACAAGAACTTGTAATATCTGGTAGTGTCATTCCCTCAAGGACTTTAGAATATGCGTATGCAATAATAAATAGATCAGTTATGTAATAAGGCAGTGTGTTGAACATGCATTCGTCCTGTGGCCTGGAATACCACAGAGAGATACATGATACCATAACACATTCATTAAGTGTTTTTTTTTTTTTCAAGGCTACCCAGGCTAACTCTTCCAGAGCATATCCTTGGTGAGAAGAGCAATCCTCTGAAGCTTGTCACTTTTCTTCTCCTATATTAAGAGATGATGACTGGCTTTAACACAAAATAAAGCTGAAGAGAGTTGGTTGATTTTTATTGTGGCCATTTTGGTTGCATCATTCTGAACATTTCATTTCCTTTGAAAAAACAAGAGAGAGCAGTTTTTGATGCAGCCAGGAGCTGGAGTTCTCAGGATGCTCCAGATGTTTCCAGGTAACTCTGTAATTTTCTAACTGTTGTTTTGTCCAGTGAACAAAGATCAAAGTCAAACGTCGTGTTCGTGATATGAAAGTGTCCCGTTTCTTCTATAAGGTTTACAATCTGTCATTAAAAAAAAAGACATAATTAAACCTTTAAATTCTAGTTCTCTCTTATACTTTGGGTGTTATGTCAAGAAGACCCTATGAATTTTATCACCTGTGCAACCTTCTGGCAAGATCAAACAACAAAGGGCATAAAATATTACAACATTTAAAGAAGTTAGGAAGACATCTCATCGTAAACCTTCCTGCTTCTTATTACCATGGATCTATCTTAAATTTTGATTGTTATAAGCTTAGTAAAGCTTTTATTGACATCTCCAGGGACAGGCGAAACCCAACACCACCTTAAAATAACTGATCAATACAACCAATGAGATAATATCATGTGAGATGTTCCCATCAGTCAGCCTGCTTAACTGTGATATATCAACTTAAAAAAGAATGGCCTGGATCAGGAATCTGCTCTCTGTATGAGACAGGGACCTTCTGTGAACGGAGGGGCTCTGCCCGTGAACTGTGATTGCTTGGGGGGGGGGGGAGGAATACAGCTGCCCACGTCTTGCATCCATCACTGAACAACACCAAATTATGAAACAGATGCCTTTTCTTCCCACAGATGGATACATCCTATTTTGGATCAGCTTTGGCCATCACCTCTTATGATATGAACTATGTGGAGTCTCTTAAATTGATAACAACATGCAGATTTTTTAAAAAATGGTTTCATTTTTTTACCCCACAGCTCCAGTGGCCAAGTAAATCTCTTCTAAAACATTAATGACAGTGTCAAATTGCTATGCCTGTCAAGAGGACTAGTGTCACCAGGCCATTTGAGTTAATTTATGGAAGTTAAGACCAGTAGGTCGAGAACCAAATTTCTTCCTTGTGTTCATGTCTTGTGTACTGGTTGGCTCCAAGACAGAAGGCTAGATGGGCCTTTGCTTGATCCAGCAGGGTACGTTTTACACTCTTTGTCTTGCTCCATTTAATTATTTCAGGAGATTGAATTTTCCTGTTTCCAATGCAGAGGAATGAGGATTTTCTATGAAAACTGAATTGAAAGAATCTCATATAAAGTAAGGGTGCAAACTGCATCAGTTTTAGGACATAGCACTAAATCCAGCAGCATGGGAAATTGATTGACATCACAGAAGGTGAATGTATCTTTCAGGAACCTTTTCAAGGCTCAAACCCCATCTCTGAACTTTCATTTGCCATACAAGAGCACCAGTGCATTCAGAAATCCCAAGATCAAAAACGGAACCCATATGCTCCTTAAAGTGGGCTTGCTCATTATCAGACTCCCTGCTGCCCTGTGCTGCTGAAACAGTTAAAATCCACTTCAGACCCCTTCATCGTCCCTGCCCCATCCATGCGGCCATGTTCATCCTTTGATTTTGCAGCCAGAGCAATCACTGAAATGAAATTAGATAATAAAACTAATTCTACTAAGCGGTCATTGGCCTTACTTCAGGCGTGTTAAACCTTTCAGGGTGAAGGCCAAATTCCAAACCCTCAGAAGATTTTAGAATAGCTCATCATCATTTCAAAGGTGGGTGGGCCAAATGCAAAAACAGGCGCATGGCCAAGAATGCCAGGATATTTAGCGTGAAGCTCATACTGCAAATAACTAAGCCTTGGAAGAGCAATTTCAAGAGAAAAAGATATGGAAAACCAGGGAAACCACCATGTAATCAAGTGCAGCTATCTTGGGAACCCTGGAAGGCTGGACTGAAGAGGCATCCTTCTGCTTTAGCTGTCTGCTGATTCCTTAAAAGGTTAAGTTTATTTGCTCATTACTAGGGTCCCTTATTATTTTTTATCACTGTTCTTAATTCTGTAGGAGATAGCAACCTAACTAAATGAGGTCCCCTCTGGGGAACTTTCTTTTCTTCCTTCGTTTCCTTGGGAACTGGTAAAAGGAAGAGAGCCTGTGCCAGTGAGAGAGATGCATTGACTGGGTTCACTGAAATGATGAGTATGGGTTGTCATTCAAATGTGGGTTGTTGTTGAAACATTGATTATCAGGTTGTCTGAACCCATTACACTAACAAGCCAAGGTTGGTTAAACAAGAAAAGCACATTCTATTTATTTTATTCAGTAGTCTATTATATTCTTTTTGGCACCAGGTGAAAACTATTTTTTTGCCCACCATTTTAAATGTTAGGAATTTTAATCGGGTTTTAATCTTTTTCACAGTTGCATTTTGATTTTGGCTCTTGTTTTTTTATTTTGATTCTGTTCTGATTTTGTTTTCATTTGTGAAATGTTATTGTTGGTTTTATGTACATTTTTAAATTATTGTTAATTGTTGGATTATTTACTTATAGTTGTAAGCCTCCCTGAGACGCTTTTGTGTATAGGGTGCGGTATAAATATTTTAAATAAAGAAATAAAAAGCCCATGAAGAAAACTCTTGATTTGGAGTTGGGTTGTGAACTCTAGGTTGTTCACCATGATTTATTATCTTGGCTGGGTTCAGGCAACACAATAACCTAGGTTTCGACAGCAACCCATGGATCACTGCCAACCCATGTTCAGCCCATATTCAACTCCTGATTATGGATTATTGTGTTATTTGAACACACTCATTGTATCTGCTCCCTTCCCTTTCACTCATCTATTACTGGCCAGGAAAGAAAAACTGGCACTCTAAGCATGTATGGGAAGATTGCTAGCTTTGGTGCTAATGGGTGAATATGGCAGATGGACTGTGCATATGGTGGGTGCAGAAGAGACAGCAACTGTGGTGGAAAAGAGCAAAAAGGTGTGTTGGCAGACAACCCTGATGGGACAGCGACTATGAACATGAGCAATGTGCATATTCAGTAAGTAAGTCTAGTTATTTTTGGCCAGCACATCCTACATGTGCTTCTAGATTAGCAAAAGGTGATAAGATTTAAGCTTTACTAAAAAAAACCTAACACTGCTTCAAAAATAATCACCCATTTACCCTTGTAACACAAGTCTCAATGGCAATTTTAATCGCAATACTCTGATGAATGTAAAGATAATCCTAGTTTAGGAATGTAAATCTAATGTATGTTTCCACTCTGTTTCCACTTTAGCTCTGACTGAAGAAGTCATGAAGAATTTTAGGAAAACTATCAATAGTTTTTTTTAAAGGAACTATATTAGATATGCTTTCCTGTGATACTATGCCAAAATGGGGCCTTTTGTTAACTCCCATGATAATAAATTTCAGGAATCCAAAAGTAGTTAGGAAGTGTTAACAGACGCATTTTAAAGCAATGCAGTGCTCTTAAAAGAAAGAAGAAATAAAATCTTATTTGTTGATAGCTATCTATACTTTTTAAGCTCCCAACTGAGAGCACCATGAACATTTGAACCCTATCCTTCATTCTAGCCTCTTAGAAACACAGCCGCAGTGTCAAGACCACCTGGTACATCTGAGTGAGAGGAACCCCCCTCGGTTTTAATGGAAGCACAGAATACATCAAGATAGAGCCAAGAATGCTTTAGGGGCATTCTTGACCACCTGCCAATGTTAATGCCTTAAATATCAGCACTCGCGTTCTTAATCTACTGAAAAACACTTGGGGAAAAAAGATTTAAGATTATCGCTGTCAAGCTTTCCAATTACCAATGTTAAAAACACAACATCAAAAATACTTTAACCGGGGACCCAGGATGCAAGGTCCAAGGAAGTCTTATTTGTTCTTGATGAAGTGTGCTGTACTTTATTGTTTTAATGTACAGTTCTGTTGACACACTGTCACTTTCCCTCAATTCCGTTGCCATCCATCATGAGGTAACAATTTATATGGCTTTACAGAAGAATGCAGACATGAAGGGCTGGGTTGTAACCAACTCCAACCTTTTTCTTTTAACCTTTCAGAAAGGTCTGAAAGGATTTTGTCTTCTCCAGTCCACAAAGCTACCTTAAAAGCTATTATTTATTATGCATTCTAGATTTTTTGTTTTTGTAAAGGTTACAAAACACAAATGTCTCTTATTTTAATCTTAACAATCTGCTAATGAAATTTTAAGCTGGGAGTGCCAAAGGCCACCCAGTAAGTTAAGACCTAAAATAGGCTGGACCAGAGTTTCCTGCACCCAAATTCAACAGCATACTATTCTGTTGCCACTTACCGGTTCAGAGATTATCTAAACTGAAGTATCAAATCCATTATTTAAATACTATTATCATTGTTAGTAGTAGTAGTATAGTTTTACTTCGATATGCAGATTAATAAGCAGTTAATCCAGATTCTTATTATGTTATGACTGACTTACTGACTGACTGACTGATCATCATAGTTTCAAATGAACAGTGATGTAGGGTGGAATATTTTTCAAAAAAGAAAATGAACATTTTTCCAATTATTTATTTTTCTATGGGAAATTTTTCATTTCATAAGTTCATTAGCTAAAGTAAATGTATGCCAATTGCAAATGGAACTGCAGGCAAATTTGGTGGTTTCAAAATTATTTCTAGCAAGTATGTAAGAGAATACATCAACGTCACTGAATTGTACACATGTCTCAGTGTGAAATGGAACTACCAGAGTGTAGGACACAGAATAATGAACTCAAGCTGCAACAACCCAGATTCAGGCTAGATACCAGGAAAAGCTTCCTCACTGTCAGAGCAACACGGCAGTGGAACAAGTTGCCTAGAGAGGTCATGGGCTCTCCCACACTAGAGACATTCGAAAAGAAACTCAACAGTCATATGAGTGGGCTGATGTAAACTGATGGTTTGCAACAGCAGGGGGTTGGACCTGATGGCCTCCTTGACTCCTTCCAACTCTACCATTTTATGATTGTATGATACTAAATAGTAACAGCAAAACTGGAGTTGCTCCATCAACCTCTGCTGAAATAGATGAGTAGCTATCAGTGTATTGCGTATCTCTGCATCGTGAAAATTAGTGTGTCAACAGATTTCAGTGCCTTTGTTTTGCTTTTCTTAACACTGTAAGAAAAATATATATTAAAGAGAAGAATGCAAAGTATTCTTCAAAGAAGAATGCAAAATTACACAGTACTTCTCGTCTGTCCCACAGGTGCTGTTTTGCAAGTGGTGTGTCCTGCAGATTCCAGTGCAAAAGCAGAACCTATTGCTTGTGTAATGGAGATATAATGCTTCCCGGAAAAACCCCCCAAATAAGTGAAAATATATGGTTCTGGCCTGGACACATTGGCAGCCTCCCTTATGGTCCTCTGGTTACTTGCCCTGTTCCAGAACACTGTTGTGTGTTTCTGGTTTCTGCTGGAAGTGCTAAATCACCATTGCACAAACATTGCATGCTGCTTGCAGCCAGAAATTGGCAGAGTGCAAGAGAATCAGCAAGAGGATTAAATACTTTCGTGGATTCTGTCTATTGTCTTTCACATTCTAAAATCATTCCACAAGGGAATTTAACATTTAACATATTTAAGTGTGTTTAAAATTCTGCTTTAATTTTTCCTGTCAAATATTACAAGTCAAATACTTGTAGTGTATTTGGACAAACCAAGCAACCAACCAACCAACCTGCTACTCCCTTCTGTGAGCTGTGTTCACAAAATAGGTAAAATAAACATGCTAAATTAGATCTTTGTAGAGCACCAGAAAGTTTTCCAATTCAACATTCCCCAGAAACTCTACATCATAGCAAATAAACGGTCTAAAAAGACACTGTTCCACAATTCATCCATACATTCAGTATGAAATGCAGGTTTCAACCCAGAATATGGATCACTTCATTAATTATTATTTAACTGGAGGATGTGGATACATTTTTAATTTACATCTAAAAGAATGTGAAATTATGAATGGGATAGAAAAGTGTTTGGCAACAAATGGATCAATCTGCAGTATCTGGTGGAGAGCCAAGACTGTCAGTGGCTTTTTGTTATCCCCCAAGCATATATTGGAGATAGTTAAGTGTTACTCTACAATATACAAAGAGTCTTTAAATCTATCAATAAAACATTAACAGAAGACTGCTTTATATGTATGTCTTTTTGAACTTGCTGTATAAATGACATGCAGTCACTCTGGCAAACTGTTATATTAATTTATGATCTTCTTACCAAATGCTTGGGTCAAGAAGCCTATTTTGCCTTTTTTTTCTAACATATACCATAGTCGGAAATTAGATATTGTTTACAAAAAGTTAAAATTTGAAGATGGAAAATATGGAGAAAGAAACTTTGTTCTCTCAACTGCTCTACTCTCTAAAAAATAACATCTAAAATTATACAGCTTGGAAAGCATACACTTTAAAGTTCTTGTAATGACATACAGGTTCCAGTGAAAAAACTGAATTTTGTCACTGAACCATATTAAAATTATAACATGACTATTTCATGAATGACCACTGAAAGATAAATAATGAATTCAACCTTCAACACAAGAAAACTACAGTGAAATTTGAAATGACAGAATTCATTTAGAATTTGTTAAGCTTTCTGTTATCATCAGAACAAACAGGAAAACCATCCCAGCCCTAAGGTATGTGTGTGGAGTGATGGAAGACGTATCATTTAAAACAAATGTTTGGAGTATGCATTGCATCTGTTAAGATCTATAAGAGACTCCAAGCCTCTTGTCCTTCATGGTGGACAGCAATACTCGTTATTCCCAGCCAGCAAGGCCAAAAGTCCAACACATTGATAGGCATCATGCTGAAGGATCATCAAATTCTACTGGAAGACCAGATCTGAGTTCCTGACTTTTACAAAGGCTATGTTTAACATACAAATAACTCCTCTCACCTGTTGCAGTACATGTCTTTCCCTTAGTGTCATTAACCTTCTGTGGAGCTCAACCAGTTCATCAAGATATGCCTGAGAATAATCCACCATAAAATTAAAAGAAACAAGAACACATTTTGTTAAGCAACAGAACTCCATGTGGCATTGCACACAAACATTTTTCAGTGTCATCTGAGCTTACAAAATTCAAAGCAATATGCAGAATACAGACAGCTTATTAAAATGTGGAACAAACTAAATAACGTGAAAATCTCCAACTGTGCAGCAACTAAGAAATATTTATGAAGATATGTGCTATCAACCAACCTTTGGCTGTGTCTATAGCTTGACAGGTTAATACTTTCACAATGATACTAGAGAAACTATGGGAGCGGGATTCAAAGATTGCTTCTCCTATTTACCTTATCACAATCGCCATTCTTAATTTGTTTATCAGATTTACTCTGCTTTATAGGACTCTTCACTTCTAGAATCTGGAAAATAAAAGAGTAAATATCTAAGGCATTATACACCTAGGACTGAGGAATTTGAAATTCCATAGCCAAGTGTCTTATCCATGCACGTTTGACAGCCAAATTATCTAACCTACATATAGTTCCTGACACACACCACACTGGAAGCAATTCATACAAGAAAATAAAATAAATGAGAAAAGAATGATAAATTAATTTAAACACTGAAGACAATATTATAAATGCTAACTATATAAACACAAGTTGGAGGAACATTCACTGATAAAAGTATCATTACAAAACAACACACAGAAGTTCATCACACTGAATGCCTCATTTAGCAAATGTTTGAACCATTTATATATAAATATACCAAATTCTTGGAGATTTATTTAAAAAGAAACACATTAGGGTACTTTGATAAAGGCCTATATTGCTATGAGAGTTACAGTGGCATTTTTAGCATAAAATGTGGACCCAGGCTCAGTTCACATGCAATGAGAAGTCCCTGTGGGTACATCTCCCTGTGTGGCTTACTGCTGCAGTGACAGTGGCCATGCTGACTATCTGGGACATACTGGAGTGCACCACAGCTTCTTATGATGCGCAAATCTGGCGAGAGGAGGTTGTTGGGGTGGTTGACCAGGCACCCTGAACACGCGGGCTGTTTTAGGGTTTCAGGGAGCTTGATAATGACCCCAACAATCCACCTTCATGAGAATCACATATAATAGGAATATTCAAAATGACCACTGCCAGGACAAGAAGACTCACTGTAAATTCACCCACAGTGGCTTCTTGTTACATGCAAAGCATGTCACAATCTGATATGCAGGATTAACTAACCGTAGTCCTTCACACAGGGATGACCATATTACTCATGATTTGCTCACACTTCAATGAGTATCTGTAATAGTTCTTGCTGGAGAAAGCTATTAAATAATTCTAACTTTTACAGACTTTAATGCCTAAACTTCTTGTCAGGCTTATACACTGGTCCCAATCCGGAGTTTTATTGAATCAATTGAAGTTGATCTGTGGATTGGTGCCCAATTGTCCAGAATACACTGGAATCCTGGAAGTGGGCTGCAGTTTACTAAACCAATTGCCACAAACCCATAGGGTCACTTGCCTTACAGATTAATGTGCGATTATCTCTGTTAAGAAGTACTGCGCTTGAAATAATCTGCAGTGATATGACAGTTCTCCCTGATGCGTCCCAAGCAGTGATGGCTGTTCACACACAAGTCATCACTTGATGCTGCAGTTATTAAGTGCAGCACTTGTAAATGTGAACTAACCATTAATCTTCTGAAACAAATTAGAGCTGTGAATAGTCACAATATTAATCCTAATAATTCAAATTCCAAATCATAAAGGTTAACTGCCCAACACTGTTGTTTTTGGGGAAGTACTACTGCACAGCTGACATACTCACTTTTTGTATGAACTGTTGAAAACATAACACCAACTGACAGGTATGTTTCAACCTAGTTTCAGATTATGTTGTTTAAATCCAAGGTTATGGTTCCAATAACAGTAATAAAAAAATCTCAACTGATGAAACAGTAATGAAAACCTGTGTTGCATTCCCCTATGAATGGAACTAAACTGTTGGGATATTTTAAAGTTTATTTTTAGGAAGATTAAAACGTTTTACACTAGCAGTCCAGATGGTCTTTTCATCCTCAGTGGAATAAAAGGCAGCATTCTCCATACTGGAAAAAGGCAAGAGCAGTACTGCAGACCGAGAGCCGCTATTTAGGCATAGTTCACATGAACCATGGTATTAACAAGCCATTCTAGTGACCTGAATGTGTGTGAACAATGACCTGGTTCACACAGAACAATAAGCCACGATGGTTTATTTTACCCTCGGGTTTTGTTTTTATTGTCAGCAATAAAGCACTAGGCCAAGCTCCATTAAAAATGGTGTCTGGACAAACCCCACAGGTAAATTCACAGAGGCTTCTTGCTATGTGTGAACAGACTCAGAATAATGGTTCAGTAACAACAGATAGGCTGGATATTCACTGAACTGCTAAAATTCATTCATATCACATAGTTATCAAACAACAACAGTCCATCAGTGATGGCTGTTGATTGTCTCACAGGCTCTTCTAGAGTAATAGAAATGTAAATATTCAGAAGTATTTCGGCCACACCGCTGGTTAATGCTGAAATGGGAAACACGACTGAATGGCACTGCAGTTTCACCACGGTGAGTATGGGAAGCATTTTGAGCCCCCTGTAAGTGATGGTATTAGTATCACAGTAGTAATATTATTACAGGTAAGACAGGGCAATTACATATATTGTATTTAGACCACTACAAATCAAAAAGTGACAAAAAACCAGACCTCTTCTCATTTAAGCCACGCACAGGAGTTCCACACATGAAGACGGAAGTGGGACTGTGCTGATAGTGGTATCACAGCAAATATTTCAAGGAGATTTTCATATTGCCCAGTATCAGCATTTAATGTTTCCTGGAATTACTGCTAGCATTAGACAAAAAAGCAGTTGTTTGTCTTCCAGGATATGGGTGAATAATATTGCTAAGAACATATGCCAAACGAAGAGGCAGGTTCTTTACGTTTCTGGGAAACCAGCTCCCACTGAGCTTTAACACACTCAAACAGTTCTTGAGGCTGAGGAAAGAAAAGTCATGCAGTGAAAAACTGGCCATGAGTAGAGTAGCCACACTGTAGGACAGTACCTGGTTACTGTTGGTTTTTAATAAAGGTGGAGGTTCATGGCGTAGTGGTGAAGATGCTGAACTGCTGTCACTGTCACTTCCATCGCTTAGACTAACTCTGAGAAGAGAAAGGAACAAGAATGTTACCTTTACTGGTCTGTGGCCAACCTTTAATGTTCTGAAAAAAGCTCCCTGCATGTGTCAGAATCCTGACATTACCTCTCATGTTTTGAAAGAGAAGTTTGAAAATCAAAAGGCAAAAATGTTAGGAGATCAGATAAAAAGTGCCAAGCAAAAGAAATGTACATTTTTGCACTGCTTTTCACTGATTAACCTGCAGTCTAGAAGCAGTTCAACTCTTTATGCTGGTGAATAAACATAAATGATTCTGAATAAAAATTCTGCAAGAAAGAAATATTACGAGTATTGAAATCTATATGCTTATGAAATGATACCTTAGTTACATGTAGCTAGAAGTGTGCCTGATAGTTGAAACCAATCAACCTGTGATTTAAGTTTTTAACATGACCCCCAGTGCTGAAAAAACTGCTCTGTTCCTAAAGGAGGCATAAGAATACTGCAGATAATGTGCACAAGATAGACATTTGAGCAAAATACAAAGCCTGGAAAATAGTTTACTTTGGGGGCAGTGGGAGAGTACAGAAGTGTCCACTTCCACAGGATCCCATAAGCAGATCTAAAATTAACCCCAGTTTTCAAGATCTGGGAAGAAAGAAACAACAGGGTTTTTTTAATTAAATGAATCTGTAAACATTCAGAATCTTAAAACACTCCTGTGAGTTCTAAATGTTGCATTCTGTGTAAATGATAATCACTTGAAAGTGCTGGATATTTCAAAGCTGAATTTACCCATATCAGGAACCAACAGCATTTTTCAGGTTCATGGTTGTTCTTTTCTTTCTTCTTTCTAGGGATGACAGGATGCCTGTCTAACAGTGTAATCCTATTGGGGTGCCCATAAGGCCTGGAACTTGGAGGCTTACTAGTTTCCAGTGAAAAGAACTGGACGAAATCTTTGCTTCCCTGTCTCCGGGCTCTGGATTCTCCTCTCATGTTTCTCCATTTTAGGCTCTTTATTTTAGTATACTTTGTATCTTTGATGTTCAAGAAGGGGTTCCCAGAGTAGCTTCTGGAGCTTTTCCACCACTGATTAGAGGATACAAAGCATTATCACCCCTAATGTCACATTAATTCTCATAGACAGGGCCTGAGGACCTAGAAATTGGACCACATGTTGCCAAACTAGAGATTCAAATAGCACTGGAACAGTGTCCCAATGCACTGCTGTCCTCATATTTCTTGTGCCAGCCTTCTTGTGGGGACTGCGCTAACACTCTGAGCTAGTTGACAGGCCATCGTGGTCAGTTCTAGGATCCAGGTTAGCAAAACAAGATTTCACAGCTTCTCGTCATGTGCTAAGCAGGCCAAGGGGGGCTCTTGACGTAGCTGGCAAGTCACTCAGAACCATAGGCTGTTTCTCGGTTGTGGGTGACTTGTCAACCACCTTAACAACCCACTTTCACTGGGTTTCTATGTAAGAGGAAGCTACAGCGCACCTCCATCATGCCCTGAATATTCAGTATGGTGGTTGCTGTCCAAAACAAACCCACAGGGGCATTTACTTATGGTGCAGCCTTGTTGCATGTGAATTGGGCTACTGACAAATAAAAGAGAAGCACTGCTATGGCACCCAGGATGAACGCTTAGTAGAAGTCAAGTACATTTAAACTGAGCTGCCACGTCTTGCCTTTCATGGGGATGCTCTGATCAGAGGATGGATGGATGGACACGGACAGACACACACACACACACACACACACACACACACACACACACCAATTTGAGTGCCTGGGGAGTTTTGTTGAGGCTGCTAAAAAGCCCAATGGCATTTTGAAGGGGAGACTTTAACCTCCCCTTTCCTTATATTGTTATTCATGAGAATGTAAGATTTGTTCCCCTTCTCCTCCACATCAACAACCTTCACACCCTGTTACAAAGCAAATTAGAAGGGCTCAGCACTGCTTTTCAGTATCTTGCATCTGAAGAGTTTGTGGCACCGTCCTCAGTGCTGCAGCCGGTGTATTGCAGTGGTTAGGGGGTTGGACTGAGGACCTGGAAGAGCCGGTTCTAGTCCCCATCCAGCCATGAAGCTCATTGGCCAACTTTGGGTCAGACAAAGAGTCTCAGCCTTATGTCCTCACAGGATTGTTGTGGGGGGGATAAGATGGAACTATGTAAGCCACCATGGGCTCCTTGTAATAGGAAAAAGGTGGCATATATATGCAAGATGATGATGATGATGGCAATAGCAGCACATAACCAGCGGAAGCTGAACAGTCCTATTTCAGTGGGGCTCCTTATCCACGGTAGCTTTTATTCTGAGCTTTATAGTCTATCAACGGTGCTCCACAATACTGGACCCATTTGGGGATGGGGTTCAGCAACATGCATAGCTCCTATAAAGTTGAGAATAGAAGCTGCAACAGACCAGGTGCCCCACTGACATAGGAGTCAGTAGACTCCCCTGCAAGTATCCAAAGAACATCTTAACAATAAAAAACAAACTCACTGCACTATTACCTTGCAGAAAGTTTTATGCCATAGGGCAGCCTCTGTCTCTTGTATTGAAGTTGCTGCTAATGCCCCCCCCCCCCGTTCCCTAGACAATCCCTATGTATTTTATACTTTTCTGCCCTCTGCATATGTTTTGTTTCTGTGTGAACCTAATAAATATTCCCCATCTTCTTTTCCTTGAAGCAAAAACCAGAATCTTTACTACCTTTGGCACAAGCATTCAGCTTTCAAATAATCTGAAATTATTTTTTTTAATGTTTGAGCATTCACCTGCGTCCTCCCCTATTTCCTCCATGCGTATTTACAGGTCTCTCCATCTCAGAGTCATTGTCATTCTCATCTGCTTCATCAGATTCATCTTCATTATCATCAGAATGCAGATCTTTCATTATAGACCTCAAAGGGCCTGGGGAACAAAAACAAAGGGAACACAAATCATCAACGGAATTCACATGCAAGTGTACCTATTATTCAGCTTTATAACAAAACAAGACCTAACACAGTTTTTAAGAAGCAGAGAAGGCAGACTTTGGACTTTAAACAAAAGATGCAATGCATAGGGGGGCTTATGCTGCAAATGCTTAAACAAAAGTAAATTTATTCAAGGACCAGTTGACTTAAAACAGGATTATTTCTGTCAACAAAGAGATTAGTGTTTTTAAGTGTTTGCAGAATTGGCCCCCTTGGAATGTTAAGTAAAGCAAGTTGGCTTTCCACAGAACAAAATGCATTTTTTAAAAAGCAAAAGCAGTTTTAACTACCCCTCAAAGATTATTATTAGGGTATCCTATACCTGAAAAGATCTTAAGGAGACTACTAGTAATAGTACATTTTGTTAGGTTAATCCATGTATAGAAAGTCATAGTCTAATAAATCATTGTGATTGCAACTTGCTCTGGCCAAGGCATTCTTTGTCTGCCTGTTTTTGATCTACTTAGATTTAGCTGTCTTCTTTATTCTAAGGTCAATGTCAGGTCAAGCAAGCTCTTTCCTAGTGCTCAAACGTATAAAATGTGTCAATGCCAGTAACAGAGATCTATCTTTATTCTGGAACTGAACAGGGATGCTAAGCCTGCTTCATTAATAAAGTTGTATTAAGGGAATAGTTTTAGGATTAGGTTCTTAAAAACTATTTTGCATTATTGTGCACAAAAGTGAATAGCTCCTAGTAAATCTGAAAAACATGAGTTTGTTAGAAAGTTCATCTTGGGAAGTGGATAGGGGGGCAAGAAGCTGAACTATAATATTGTTTTTATATTTCTGAGATCAGCTTTGAAAATAAAGAGCACAGCCAGTGGAAAAACACAGTGCTGTTATTAAGCAGGTCATGTGGTAAAGATCCAATATTATTGAAGTTAATAAGCTTCAGGACAAACATGGTTTCTTTGGAAGTCTAACACAAATTTTAAAATATACCAACAGGATAAAAATGTTTGTTGTGTGTAAGGGAAAATTACAGCTTTGGGTTTACAAATTACAATTACAATTTTGGGTTACAGTTCCCTGTTAAATAAGTGTAGGTACATATTGGTAGATTTTATAATGCCAAATCAAATTAATATGTAGCAGTTCATTGTTGTTATTTCCAGTCCTGCAACAACACACCTTTTCTATGCCTATTGTATACAAAGATGAGAGGAAAATAAGATTTTCTTTCTCGGGTTTCGGCAAACCTCTTTTTCTTTCTGACCCGATCACATTTACTCAATCAGGGAGAGGGAAATAATCCATGGTGAATTATTTCATCTGGCACATGTGCTGGGGAGATTTGCATAACTTCCCTTGTGAGTGTAGCTTACAATTTGGTGTGAACCTAGTTAACAAATCACCCCAGAGCCCCAAAACAGCCTATTGGTTCTTGATGACTTGGTAAACCATGGCAACAAGCCACCCTCATTGGGTTCTAATGGCACAGCAAACTACACGTGTGCCAGGGTGAAATAAACCACAGTGGTTTATTTACAATCCTTACAGAATAAAAGAACATATACATTTAAAGGGCTGAGACATCCATCAAGCAGAGGCAGAATGCTTCTGGGAAAGGATTCCAAGATCCTTTTGCAAACTTTTAATGTTTCCTGCATTTTAAACAGCCAGTTTATTATAAATGGCCCAATGTGCCATTATAATAAACATTGCACCATTTATTATAAAAACAGCCCAACAGGAACACTTCCAGTTATTTACATGTAAACTGGTTAGGGCAAGTCTTTTGGCAGATACAAATTCTGACTTCCTCTGAACTGAGCAGTGATTAGCTGCAAAGCTGCAAAGCCAAAGATAATAAAGTCTATGAAATTTGTTTGTTGCAGTCTTTTTTCTCCCTTAAACTTACTTTTTGGAAGTTGAAAGAGGTCTTACAAGCATATTCTCACTAAAATGTAACATTCAAATGTATCTGAGTTCTCACGATGCCTTTTTAGCATTTCAGTAGTTTAACCTATTTATGCAAAATGGAATGCTTTGATTTTACAGTTGGCACCAGCCTTGAGAGCAAGGGAGAAATTAAATGAAATCCAGCCACTTTATAGTAAAACAAACAAACAAAAACAAGAACTGTGGATCAGTGCAGGTCAGACTGTGAGCCTTGCATCAAGGAGACTGGTATTCAAATCCCAATCAGCCACCAGGATCACAGAATGAGTCAGTCACCCTCAGTTCATCCAACCTTCCAGGTTGTTACGGAATAAAATTGGAAGGGAGCTCTCTCTTGGGGGGAAGTTAGCTTGAGCATGCCACATGGGTTTTTTTAAACAGCTGAAAAAGGAATGCATCCTAGCTTCTATGCAACTGTTAGATTTTTGTTACCTTGTTGTCGACTGTTCTGAGATGGTGTAAAACTGGAACTGGAACTGGAGCTTGAACTGGCAGGACTAGGTTGCTCAGACTTGGAGAGAAAGGGGAGAGATGACATAAAAAGGACAAAATTAGTCCATTTATTTGTTCTCAAAATAACGTACATATTTATAATTTACTTTGCTGAGAAAGAAAAGGTCTCAAATGACACCACCATGGAACAGGATGCCCCACTCCTTATAGGCAAAGCTTCTTTTCCTATGCCAATTGTCAAGTACCCATGAAGCATCAGTAGCTTTAAAGACTTGTAGTAGGGTAACCTGACAGCTGTCTAACCTCAAACTCTCCTGCCTGTGTATGCATGAAGTAACAACCTATAGCCAAGTGACTTGGTCTAACATGATGGTCTTCTGCGTAATTTAAGTCATGATGGGCGAACTAAATCTATGAGTACCTTGTTATGGATTAAGTAGCTACACACGGGCAAGTAACAAACTCATTTGGTAAATGGCTAGAGGTCACAGAGAAACAGATGAATGCTTTATGTAACAGACCTAGCATTAAGTTGTAGGTATGTCACATTTCAGCTGTTGTGTTTTTGCCGAATCCTGTTTCAACAAGCAGAGGGTACAGAAGGAGAATCTGAAGCAAAACAGAAGCTGTAGCAATGAAGGGAGCTCAGCCTGCATTTGTAGAAAAATGATGAATATTAAACATTTGATCCCCTTAGCAGTCAAAGAGCCTTGTTATAAAATTAGAGTTAACCTAAAGGAAAGAACTTTATCTTAATCATATTAGACCATACAAGCAGGTTTTGCAACAAAATGCTCTGTGTACCACACACTCTAACCATCCTAGGAATGGTCCTATTCTGGGTTCCACTCAGCATGGAACAGAGCCTTGAGCCTCTGAGGTTTGTGTGTCTGTGTCTGTGGGAGGGAAACTTCAGGAAGGGGTAACTGAGGGGAATCCTGAGCACTTTTGTTACTGTACTAAAAGATAAAGGCCCTCTGCCTGAGATTCTGCAGGCAGGGTTGCTGTCAAAAAGAGCAGACCACAACAAATAGTTTGGCCTGGTATGATGCAGCTTTCTATGTTAATACACATTTTGAGGGCTCCTGCCATGGAACCTCTCACCCACTCACTGCTTCATAATTGGTTTAAAAAAAATTATGGTGTGACATGTGAACCTAGAACTCTGAGTTGTTGAAGGGGTTGTTCAAGTTTTTATACATGGTTTGTTGATGGCACCTTAACAACATAGACTTCTGGGTTTGAATGCCACACCAAACAACCCAGGAAGTACCACGATATATTCTGATCTTTCTAGCACTCTGAGGATTGTTGTCTAAATCCCATCTTGTTCTGTGTTGGAATGGCAGCTTGTACCAGCACTGCTGCAGACTTAAACTATGTAGAATGGTTCAGCTTCAGTCCAAGCAAACAAAGATAGATTTATGATATTCATAGTCTAAATTCCCCATCTAATTAATAAGATACAAAATTCCCAACAAAACCAAACAAAACCCAGCAGTAGTACTATCTGGCCTCCATAAAATTCAGTGCTAACTTGCACATTCATGCATTCAGCTTACATAAACCCCACAGTTGCTCTTCTGCCATAAATCAATCTATTGTTGTGCCCTCATAATGAGAAGGCAGATTTATAGTCTTTTAAAACCTTGCCCCACAATCAAAAAGATTGTGGGACGAGTTAATGGAACATCTCTCTTTTAGTGAGGGTGCTGGGGAAGGGGGGAAGGAGTTAACATCTGTTCTCGGATGAATGACATTTGTAGTTCTTACAGCTGGGACTCAAAGGAGCAACTAAGATTAACACTCTGAACACACTTGGATTTTTGTGTCTTTTTCAGTCTGTTCCTAGCCTACCCCACAGCACTACTTTTATCCACAATGGGATGGGGTCTATATGCAGACACCTATGCATATAAACCCAGTGTGGGTCAAAATCAGTGAACAAAGATTGTGTAGGTGGACACACGGACTGGATACTACGAGCAGAGAAGCCATGATAAAAATTTAGCATGCAGATCTGAATTAGAACCTGGAGACCAGGCAGGCATGTACAAAGGGCAAAAGAGAAATTCTCCTCCCGAATGTGAATAGACTCTAGATGTGGGTCACATGTGGCCTCCATCCCTTCCCCATGCAGCCCACATGATGGTAGTCTGGTTACCATCTCCTTCCTTTCTCGTTTGCTTTGGGAATGAGATAAATAGGGGCAGTTCAGAGAAAGTGACAGACAATGAAGATCATGGAGCATATAAACTCTGCGAAATGCACAACACATGGTGGGAATATGCAGAAATTTAGGTGTGTGAAGATAGGCTGCATTAAACCAATTAAGGCACTCCCTTGCTCCCAGCTATCTTTGCTTCATCTTCCTTTCGCCCCAAACCTCTCTTAAGCTCCTCCTCCCTGGCCTCACACTTGAGAGCACAGGTGTCTCTGCTCTTTGAGCCGCCATTCCTAATTGGTAAGCCAAAAGTTTCTGACAATGTAAATATAAGAAATAAAATATTTACCACATCTAAATAAATCTTTTCCATACTGATGTCTTGTAGTGGATTACTGAAATGTACAGAGGTGTTTTAAAAAGAGTTTGAAGATCTTATTGTTATCCCAACCTTTTTTGCTTTTCAAGTTTGAGTAAACAAAATGGTGTGAGTCCTTTTTGATCTTTGGACTGCTACTTTTCCTTTTTTTTATTTGGGTTTATTCAATTGTTTTACACTTTTAAAGGGGTTTATGATATGTTTTATTGTTATCTTGTATTGAATGGTTTTAACCTTTGTTTTGTGAATGACCTAGAGATCTTTGGCTATTGGATGGTCATGACAACAGGTGATGTACATACACCACCAAAACCAACACAAAGTAACAAGAACTTCCAACAAACTTCCAACAATCCATTCATATGTTCTCCTTAGTGTTAGGTAGCAAGAGAGCACATACATGCATGCTAATCAGCCCTAATACATTTATTTGCAGCTCAAGCTGAATAAACACAACTGTACTAAACTACTGAAAGATTAGTACCAGAGGGTAAAATTCTTAACACATCTACTGCTGAGTACTCTTACTGAAGTCATTTCAAGTGCAGAAGAAGTAGAGAGAAATGGAACTTGATGCTGTGACATGATATTTCTGGTCACATTTCATTTGCATTTTCCTAGACTGCCATTCAAAACAACCCACTACATAAATGGCTACTAACATAAAAAGTAGTAGAATTAATAGGAGTTGCTGTTGTTCAAGATGAAGTTTTGAAATCTTTATTGAGCATGAAGTCGTAAAAAGGAATGAGTAAAAGCCTTAGATGGTATTTTGCTTCTGGAAGAAGCTGGCTGCTCCTGGGCAAAATCAAACTCTCGAGTGCAGAAACTCCCCGCCTCTCCCTGTGTTGCTAAATACAGAACTAGAAGAGGAACGTACACAGGCAGCATCTGCAACAACGGGATGATAGCAGCCCAAGAAGCTCCGGTTTATCATTCCCTTGTCAAAGCAGCCCTTCAGCAAAGGCTGATGACTAGGGCTCTATAACTATCGTAGCATTTAAAAATAAACTCCTAGGCTTTACAAAACTGCTGAACGGTTTGACTAGCAACAGAGCTATACTCCAAATATATATTTATTTGCATGACAAAGCTGACTAATGTTTTAGCTACTCCAACTATTAGAAATGAAACAGAAAAGTGCAAAATAGTTGTTTTTGTTTGCTGACATTTTGACCTCTTTGATTCACTTCTAAGGCATGAAGCCAAGTAGCTGATTTTTCATTACAGGTCTTCAAGAAACTTAGGTTGGCTAAAACATTTATTTGCTGCACTTGAACAGTATGCATCATATTTTTATGTCAACTTTATGTAGGTAAGAAGACACGTTACTTGACAATACAGTTTTGAGAATTCTGTCCAGAAAATGAAGCTGAGAAGCAAGCTACACTGGCCTTAATAAATTGCAGACACTGTTTTCATAGTAATATACCTATATTAATATGCAGGAAAAAACCAAAAAGTGAATTTCTTTATTTCCATGATGCATTTTTTTCTCGTGAAATAAATTCATATTTGTTGTTGAGATCAGGACCTCCACATAAGAGATAGACTGTGATAGTAATACTTTCTGAAATACTGGGATGCCTGACAAATCTTATTTATGAGGCAGGTACAATACATGTAAATTGTTCAATGATTTATGTACACAAAAATTGCTAAACTTTAGAATACTTGAACAGTAAACATATCATTAAAATTTTGACCTTAAACCTGAAATCTATCTTATTCAGAAGCAAAAAATTCAAGGCTTTAAAGACAGGGTTGATATAAATTTATTCATATTGCTAACAGCAGATACATTTTGCAAGATCAAATGACAAACACAAGTGTGTTTCTACAGCTGTTCTCCTCACCACTTCTTCTTTGGAAACAGTCCTCAAATTATTTTTATACAGAATACCTACCGATTAATGTGCAATTAAGCCAGACTTGAAATCAGCTTTCCCCAACTTGGTAACCCCCAGATGTTTTCAGCTTCAGCTCCCACAGCCATCATAGTCAATAGGCAGGATCAACTTGTGGTCTAAAACATCTGGACAGCACCAAGTTAGGGAAGTTTTCTTTAAACAATGAAATAATTTCTAGATCAGCAGCACAGCTTAGCTTTCTACAACCATTGCATACTTCTTCATTAAGCACCGAATGTTCACCATTTGTCGATTTAATACATAGCCACTGCAGAGAAGAGCTCCACTGAGCTGGCCCATTCCAGAAATGGATGTTTCTTCAGGGCTGGCTTAGGGAGCATGTGTTCCTATGGTGCTAGAGGTCAATTCTGCAGGCGAAAACAACAAGTGGGGGAGCAGTGGCCGTATCGGATATTTTCCCAAGGTTTGCGTTAGCCAAACCAAGTGGACATTTGCAGTAATGTGGGCAGAATGTTTTTCCCATTACTTTATTTTGCCATGGGAAAAATCAATTTCATACCTTAATTAGTAAAAATGAATGCATGCTAATTGCAAATAAACTATTAGGCAAACTTGGCCGTTTCAAAATTGTAACTGGTTTTTCA